AACCCCCCACAACCATCTAACGACCCCCCTGAAGCCTCGACCTCGTATCAACCAGATGCGGATGAAAATCCGTCATTTTATCAACCTTATGTGGATGAAGGTTTGGCTGAGAGATTTCAGGATGTTCTAAAAGCTGCCGACCAACCTCTGTATGCTGATTGTGAGGGATACTCTCAGCTATCCGCCGTTACTGAGTTCATGAACATAAAAGCCGAATACAGTCTCCCTGAAACTTGCATGAATAGAGTCTTGCAGTCGGTAGGAGGGATGCTACCGCGAGATCATACCCTTCCCGATTCATATTACCACATGAAGCAGTTAATGTCTAAGTTGGGGCTACCTTGTGTCGAAATTGATGTGTGCCCGGAAGGATGTATGTTGTTCTGAAAGGAGGATAAGGCACTTGAGTTCTGCAAGTTCTGTGGTGGAGACAGATACAAACCTGTTCCTCAAGGTAAAAAGAAACCACGACATAGGTCGGCACTGTCTAAACTGTATTACCTCCCAATAGCTCCTCGACTGCAGAGGATGTACGCTTCGACTGCTACTGCGAAACACATGACATGGCATGTTGAGCACGAAACCAATGAGGGTATGATGGCTCACCCTTCGGACTGTGAAGCCTGGAGACACTTTGACCGTTGTCATCCTCAGTTTGCTATGGAGCCACGAAATGTGCGGCTGGGATTGTGCTCAGACGGATTTGCTCCTTTTGGCAGGTTTGGCAAGAACTATTCATGTTGGCCGGTCATGTTAACTCCTTACAATCTCCCTCCCGACATGTGCATGAAAAGTCATTTCATCTTTTTGTCTTTAATTTGTCCGGGTTCCAAGGATCCTGGGCGAAAGATAGACATTTATCTTCAACCCCTTACCGAGGAGATGAAAGAACTGTGGGCCGTTGGGACACCAACTTATGATGTTTCATCAGATAAAATGTTTATCATGAAAGCTGCCATCATTTGGACCATTAGCGACTTCTCTGCCTATGGCATGCTTTCGGGATGGAGCACACACGGTCTGATGGGATGTCCGATATGCATGGAGAAATCAGGTGCCAACTGGCTCAGTTACAGTAAAAAAGGAAGTTACTTTGATTGTCACCGCAAGTTTCTCCCGGAAAGGCACCGATATCGAAAGGACAAGAAGTCTTTCATTAGAGGCAGAGTGGTACGAGAGAGCCCACCCCCGAGATTGACCGGTGAAGAAATTTATAACCGGGTTCGACGTATTCCTACGGCTATGGAAGAGCCAAACCAAGAGCCATATGGGTATTGTGATACCCATAAGTGGACAAAGAGGAGCATATTATGGGAGTTGCCATATTGGAAAGACCTTCTAATTCGTCACAATTTAGATGTCATGCACACTGAGAAGAACGTGTTTGACAATATATTTAACACGGTGATGGATTTCAAAAGCAAAACTAAAGACGGTCTTGCAGCTAGGAAAGATATGACTATTTGGTGTGATAGACCCGAACTTTCTGTTGATCTGGAATATCAGGGCAAGGAAGTTCCAAAAGCAGTCTATCAGGTCACAGAAGCACAAAAGGCAGCAATATTACAATGGCTTGTGTCTCTGAAGTTTCCAGATGGCTACTGCTCCAACTTGTCTAGATGCGTGGACATGAACAAACTAACCACGACAGCGAGCATGAAAACTCACGATGCTCATGTAATCATGCAAAGACTTCTACCAATTGCACTGAAAGAGATGCTCCCTGAACACGTATGGTCCTGCATTACTGAAATCAGTTTGTTGTTTCAGTCGATATGTTCCAGCGTTTTGGATGCGGCATCCCTCCGGAGACTAGAAGAGTCTGTTCCCATTCTGATGTGCAATCTGGAAAAGATAATGCCTCCATCGTTTTTCGATGCAATGGAACATCTTATAATACATCTTCCGTATGAGGCTTTGACTGCTGGGCCCGTCTTCTATCGCTGGATGTACAGATTTGAAAGGTTAGTCACAATTTTCATTTAAAAAATGAATACTTATTTCATACAAACTGTAATCTGTGTACCACTTTTACTTTACATTGCAGATTTCTAGGAGAGTTGAAAAAGAAAGTGACCAACAAGGCACACGTTCAGGCTTCAATTTGTCAAGCGTATCTTCAACAAGAAATCTCAACGTTCTCGTCTTTTTATTTCGAGCGTGACGTCATCACCAGAAGGAAGAGACCTGCCCGGAACGATGACATTGGCGAGGATTTATATGAAAATGTAGTTTCCATCTTCACATACTCAGGCAGAGGTAAAGGAGCTGCGACACACCGATACGTCCTGGGTGGGGAATTACACATTGCGCATACTTATATCCTCATGAATTGTCCAGAAATCTTACCGTTTTATCAGTAAGTTAAATTTGTAGTTACAATTGTAATACTTATAAATTAAATTTGTAGTTAATTTATAATATTTTTATTTTTGACTTCACAGTGAATTCAGAGCTTCTTTATCAACCTTTCCTGAGAATGAAATTGATGCAATGGTGGACTCTGATTTTGTAAATTGTTTCAAGTATCAGGTATATATATACACACATTAGTCATATATATTATTACGTAATAATTTGTACTAATTATTAATTATTATCATGTTATATTTTACAGATCAATAGCCGTGGGATTGTCGACCCTCTGTTATTAGCATTATCGTGGGGCCCAAGTGCCATTGCCAAAGTGTGGCGGTCATATGTGATAAACGGTTACACATATCACACAGACGCTTACGGACAAGGTCGACCAACAACGAACAGCGGGTTATGTGTCCCGACCATCGGTTATGATAACTCAGAAACCAATTTTTTTGGTGTGCTGCATGAGATTCTGGAACTTGAAATGCCTTGTGGTGCGAAAAAATTGACATGCGTTCTGTTCCGCTGCAAATGGGTCGATCCCACACGTGGTGTGAGAAAAAATTTGAAGTATAATATGATTGACGTCAACCACTCTCGTGTGTATGAAAAAAACGAGCCTTTCATACTCGCCCAACAAGCAGCGCAGATTTATTATGCAGAATATCCTTCGACAAGGCGGACACGGAATCCTTGGGTGTGTGCATGTACTGTCCGTCCGAACAAAATTATATCACAAACTCAACACAAGGGCGTTGATCTAGATGCTTTTCAGCAATAATTTTTCCAACCTCCGCCTATTGTCGAGACGGTCAACTATATAACATCCAATTAAGTGATCCAATTGGCGGACGTGTTGAAGTCATGCCAGAAACACACCTTCCGGACCTAACCATTCCATCTGAGCGCGAAATTGTTGAAATGTATGAAGCACAACAAAACACTCAATATCAGCAAGAAGGTGAATGGATAGACGGTTCAGATACAGAAGAAGATACTGTATATGTAGAAAATGAAGATTCTGAGAGAAGATGCTGTTGTAATTTCAATTTTGTGAATTAATTACTTCAAGCATGTTCACATTGGCTAAAGCAAGAAAAACAACAACAAAAACAACATTACATAGGTAGCAAGCCAAGAATAAAAAAGACTGAAACATAAAATATGAGTTAGAGTACACTCAAAGGCTCAACTAAAACTGAAAGTAAATTATAAAAAAAATAAAGCTAAATCGGAAACCAAAAGTAATCTTGACTATATGAATTATAACAAAAATAAAATTGAAAGTAAAATGCTCAAAATATCAAAATCTTACTGTATAGAAGATGCTGTTGTAATTTCAATTTTGTGAATTAATTACTTCAAGCATATTTCATATTTTCCTTCATCATTATTGTTTGTGAAATAAATACTCCTTAATCTGTTCTATACCAAATAAATTGAAAGCAGTTTATTTAATAATACTCCACAGTCCACACTACAAATTTAACTGTTTCCACAATATTCCATATTATAAATTCGAAAATTGAAAAATAATTTAAATACTTCGAAAATACAAAATTAAAAAAAAACAGAAATTCATAAATAAAACTAATTTACTTTTCATAATCTGAATATTGTAATAATTTGACATTTTAATAAACAACTTACACGAATTTAGTTCTGTATTAGTCATTTTTTTTGCACAAACTAATTTACTTTTCATAATCTGAATATTGTAATAATTTGACATTTTAATAAACAACTTACACGGTCATAGTCACGGTCAGTGCCGTGACTAAACCCTTCGTAAATGCCGAAGTCAGGCCTGACGGTCAGAGCCGCCGCTGACCAGTATAGTCACGGTCTGGTCCGTGACTTTGACCGTGACTATTTTCAAATTAAAGTAAGAGTATAAGAGTAACTTTATATTAAAAATTACCAAAAATAGAAGTGTAAAATTTATTTTGGAACAACTCAAAAAGAAAAGTGTGAAGTTTATTTAGAATTGGATAGAGTGTTGTTGCCCCACACCAAATACTACGTATCTCTTAAAACGTAGAATTAAATGTTATATTAAGATCTGAGTTGCTCCTCTTATCAGGTTGACCTTTTAGGATGAAATCACGTGTCTTAAGAGAGTACATTTAATTTAGTTATTTGGGTATACGAGGTTTCAGAATTAATGTTAAAAGCTACAGATTTTCTTTCAAATACTCCCTCCATCCTAAACTGATTTGTAAAGTCAACAATTTTTTGTTAATCAATGTTAAAGTTAAATCCTTCGTATTGATAGTTAATTCAATTTTTAATAATTAAATTTGACATATTAAGAAATTACATTAAAATTTTTTCAAAGTCGCAAATTCTAAATTAGAATATACTACTTAATTCGCAATTGATATCAAAATTAAGTGAAAAAAATGAAATTGTTTGACTAGATAAAGGTAATTTTAATTTGTAAATAAATTTGGAATGGAATACTATGAATGTAACTTCTAAAAAGATCTAAAAACTCTTGTCGCGGGAAACACTGTTAAAAACTTGTATCAGTCAAACATACACCTACATTAGAAGAAAATGAACGTACATATTGTGACAATGAAATTATGGAATGTTATTACATGTTTTGTATCTGTAATTTGTGATTGCGGTTGGTATAAATATAGTCACTATCTAGGCCGGGTCTCATCCATATATAGACTGACTGATTAATTCCATAGACGCCTGCCGGCTCTCGCTCATCGAACAGCTAATAAGATTATTGGAGTTTGAAGAAGAGGTCGGAATTATATATTTCTCCGATCCGGCGGCCGGCCGGCCATACGGAATAAATCATCTATGGTAATAATGGAGGGGGAGAATTCGAGATTGGGGAGCAGCAGGTCTCAAGGAAGCCGCAGGATGAGCAGAAGCGGGAGCAGAGTGGGGTGGAGCGTGGAGGACGTGTTCTCGTCGGTGAGCGTGCGGCGGAGCACCAGGGCGGAGGAGGACGAGGAGGCCCTCCGGTGGGCGGCTCTGGAGAAGCTGCCGACGTACGACCGGCTGCGGAAGGCGGTGCTGAAGTCGTTCGTGGAGGAGGAGGATGACGGGAAAGTGGTGCACAAGGAGATCGACGTACGGAAGCTGGACATGAACGTCCGGCAAAACTTCATCGATCGGATGTTTAAGGTTGCCGAGGAGGATAACGAGCGCTTCTTGAAAAAGCTCAGAAACCGCATCGATAGGTATATTTATTTATTTCATGTGCACTAATAACTAATTACGGATCCCATCCATCAAATTCATTCATACAACGTAACTACGGAGTACTATACTATACCACGTATAGTACTCTCATCTTCCTTACTCCAACTCCACTTATTTAGCCGCCATTATAAAAGATTAATATACCTTAATCATTATTTGCAAGTCAATTATTGAGTTTTGTTTTATAAAAATAAATTATGGGAACACTTTTTTGTGACAAAAGGTAGATTAGTGATGAGTCATTAATTTTGCACGAGAGTACTAATAATTAAGCTAGTTAAATGATATGGATTTTGTATGGCTGAGATCGATCATTAAATCACAAATGAAAACAGTGATGTTTCTGTCTGAAATAAGACTAATTCATCTATCCGTATGTAATGTATATTATATTGGAGATCGAAGTCTTCTTCAATTCCGATCGAAAAAATTAATTAAATGCATGTGTACGTACGTATGTAATAACGTGCAGAGTTGGGATTAGTCTGCCAACGGTGGAGGTAAGATTTGAGAATCTGAATGTGGAGGCTGATTGCTACGTTGGAGATAGAGCCCTTCCCTCCCTCCTCAACACCCTCAGAAACCTTGCTGAGGCTGCAATCGGCTTTCTCGGCATTACTTTGGCTCCAAAAACTAAACTCACCATCCTTAAACATGCTTCTGGTATCATTAAACCATCCAGGTATGTATATTCATATTGTCCATCAGCTAGTAATTAATTACAAACGAAACCCCGTTTACATTTACCACAATAATATGAGTAATTACAAAATGAAAAGACGTATATATATATATATGGCCGGTAATCAGCATTTAAAGAATTTATACGGATTATTATTTATTAGGGACCGCGATTTAAAATACTCCCTCCGTCCCTTTTTATTTAGTCAAACATTATTTTTCAAGTCAAAGTTGTTCAACTTTGACCGGTTATATATTTATACACGGTAATATTGATAACATGAAAATTATATGAAAATGTTCTTTGTTAAAAATATTATCATAAAAATATAAATAAATTAAGATTCACATAAGTATATTAATTTAAATAATGGATCAAAGTTTATCATCTTTGATTGGAAAAGTCAAAGATGACTAAATAAAAAGTGACGGAGCATGTTTTATTGCTTATAAATATTTATGAGTGTACAAAAAAAAATCTCGGAGAGCGGACCCCTCACGGTATAATAGACGTGTTTATGTATGTATGTATGTAGCTAGCTAATAATGTTATGGGTGTATTATTATTATTATGATTGTTACAGGATGACATTGTTATTAGGGCCACCATCATCAGGGAAAACGTCTCTTTTGTTGGCTCTAGCGGGAAAGTTGGACCCTGCCTTGAAGGTGGTCAATAGTCATACTCTATCTATCTTTGCTCGCTCTTGTCAATTTCTAATCATTCAATCGGCTAGTGTTTCTTATTTACTAAACTGAAGATTTTTAATAATCAGACTGAATATTTTTTAAATTAATTTCCTACGATAATGACCGTGTCCATATATACACTAGCTACTTTTCGATCCGTATGAATTGAAGTACGCACGCCAAAAGTAACGTAACAAAAGAATATACTTCCTCCGTTCTTTTTTAATTGCAACGGTCCACTTTTCACGTTTGCCAACGTACAAGTTTGACCACTAATATCTTCCATTCCTTATTAATAAAAAAATTAAAAAATTTAGATTATGAAAATTTAAAGTGATAGAAATTTAACAATATTTTTTAAAAATTTAATTTATAATACATTAATAAATAAAATAGAGTCAAAGTATAACATGTGAATAGTGTAAAAAGTCCAACGTTGCATTTAAAAGAGAACGGAGGTAGTATAAACTGTATGTATGTACGGAGGTAGGGGCGAATATAATTGATGGAATGAATGAATGAATTTAGGTAAAGGGAGAGATAACATACAATGGTTACAAGCTGAGGGAGTTTGTAGCACAAAAGACGTCGGCATACATCAGTCAAAATGATGTTCACGTCGGTGAAATGACTGTTAAAGAAACCTTAGATTTCTCGGCCAGATGTCAAGGAGTTGGTTTCCGATATGGTACGCTACAACTACGTATAGTACCAACTTTTATTAATTAATGTTTTTTTTTTTTACTCTCACCCTCAGTTCATTTATGCATGCATGCAAGAATATAATAAGTATACTCAATTATATATAAACATTTATTTATATACTTTACTAATTAATTTTGGACAAAATTGTGTACGTAGAACTCTTGGCCGAACTTGCTAAGAGGGAAAGAGAAGCTAAGATTTTACCCGATGCTGAGATCGATCTTTATATGAAGGTACGTATGTATTCATTTTAAAAAAAATGGGGCTAGCCGGCTAGGCCCTGATACATATAAACTACTTCAATTCGTAACGTATGCAGTATATATATTAGTACCTACGCACTAATATATATATATATATACTCCGTATTTTATTAGAACCACTGTTTTTCTTATTCTAGCTAGCTAAAATGTACTTACGTATTTTTTTGATTAGGCAACTGCAGTTGAAGGGGTTAATGAAAGTCTTGCCACAGATTACACGCTCAGGGTAAGTAATTGATGAGCTACATTCACAAACAAATGTGGCTAATTGATTGTGTAATACGGAGTACTTAGCTAGCTAGGCAGGTACTGTTATTTATATACTCGTATATAATAAGATGGCGGGAGTGAAGTCGTCAAGTCTTCGTTCACATTAACGTACGAGGAAAAATGGAAACTAATAATCCAACATTTTAGCGGTCTTCTTACAATAGTCCCACCTTTTCGTTATTGATGAATAATCCAACATTTGCATCTCATCTTCATTCATTGGTCCCTGACCGGTTGATGATCTGTTATTCCAAGTTATTTTCTGATCTTTGCAAACCATTATACCATAAACCTCACCTTTCACAAAAATAATATTTCGGAAAGATAAGAAAATAACTTCGAATAGCAGGTCATTAACCGGTCAGGGACCAGCGAATGAAGATGATGTACAAAAGTTAGAATATTCTTGAATAAAGAAAAGGTAAGACTATTGTAAGACCAGTTAAAAAGTTGGATTATTATTATAAGCTAGCTACTTGTACAATAACCAAACAAATGTCTACTTTTGACTTTCCCTCATTTGAACGAACGAGCATATAGTAGTACGGAGTATAATAATATATATGCATGCCAAAAGTCACCACCAACCCCACATAGCTAGCAGCCAGGCCGGCCACCAGAGTTTAATTAATTTATCTTTGTTTGAGTCGCTCAATATATTCTTGTTTTTTTCTAATTGCTTTAATTTAACCTTCATACTCCCTCCGTATCAAATTGATTGACGCTTTTTCACGTAGTTTAAGGCAAATATATGTAAAGTAAGAGGTTTTTGGTACTGTAGTAGTACTGTAGCGGTACTGTAGCTGCTTTTTGGGTGGGTTTATTTCCAAAAAGGGAAATGAGACATTTATTTTGATACGTCCCAAAAGGGAAAGCGAGTCAATTAATTTGATACGGAGGGAGTATCATTTATTCTTGTTTACATTGTTGTGTGAAAACTAACATTTGTTAGTTTATTTATTAAGAATCGCGTTTGTTATTGTTATTCATGAATAAAAACCATAGCAAATATCAACAAAATTACCAAAATTCAACATCCGCATGATTTCTCCCCTTTGTTTTCATTTGTTTATTTCTGTCATTCAGCGCGTTTTTGTTTTCTAGGTTTTCGTTATTTCAATTAGCCTATAATTTAAATAGTTATCTTTTTTTGAAAGGATTAAATAGTTATCATTCACAATCAATAGTTATTAGAATAATTATTAGCGTATCTTACTATTTTAGGTAATCATAAATGTCTTAAATGTCAAATAAACTTTGATTTTACATGGCTGGAATCACGTTATTTCAACGAAAGGAGATATGCATGGTTGGTCAACATAATTAACTACGGAGTAGAAAGGAGAGAGTGAGGAGAAGAATATAGAGGCTTGATAATTGAAAAGGATAAAGGATGATCATATCGTCATAAAAGCTATTGTATGTAGTTAATTGATCTGTATAATATAACTCCGTCCTACTCAATTTTGTCAAATTAATATTGTGTAAAATTACAATAATAACTTATATTTAAATATTTGATAGATAAATGAAAAGAATCATAATACATTTCTTTAAAACAAAAATGACAAAGTTATTTAAGAAAAATAGAAAAGAAAAATCAGCAAAATTGAATGAAATATAGAAAGATTATAACAATATTTCGTATATTGAATTGGTCATTGACAAGTTTCCAGTCATTGAAGCTGTACCTCACCTATAGGTGAACGTACGTATAGCCCGGCCTCCTCACATACAGTAATTTTCTCAGTCAAAACAAAAAATGTATAATTAAATAAAGTAGCATTGGTCATTGAAGCTACCGCCTCACCAACTTTTATGTTTTGGTCAAAGCTAAATCAATCTATCAAAGAAAACTCCACCTTACCTTACATCATCGGCACAAATTAGTCAACTATTTATGCCTACATGGCTATTGCCCTATGTTTTAACCAACTTTTATAAAGAGTATGCATACCGGTATATACTCCGTATACAGGGATGGATTTAAGGGGGCGCGGGGGCGACCGCCCCCTTGGACTTTCAATTTTTTTTAATATATACTCCCTCTGTCCCAAAAACAACTTCCCACTTTCCTTAAATGGATGTCTCAAAAGTAAACTCACACTTCAATACTTTCCTCTTTTGGAAAATTATCTACATAAAAAAAGTGATAAACAGTGCCAAACAGTGTTTAAACAGTGCCAAACAGTGTTTAAACAGTGCCAAACAGTGCACTCTACAGTAAAGTCAAATTTATTTTCTAAAAGTGTGTGAAAGTCAATCCGGGAGGTTGTTTTCGGGACGGAGGGAGTATGTAATATTTTCATAAACTTGTTATGCTTTAATTAGATATTTATGTGTTCGCCCCTTAACTTTTAATTTCCAAAATTTTATATAACATCTAAAATAATTTACATAACTTAAACAAACAAACAATATAGTAACTCATTGTTCAAGACTTAGAATACTTATTATATAAAAATTCCTAATTTTGTAATGTTTAATTATGAGACACACGACTTAAACAGTTTTTAAGTCACGTGAATTGAATCCAAAATATAAATGTTTTTTTTTATGACACTTAGCATTAAATTACACATACTTCTTACTTTCTAAAAACAATTTATTGCATATATAATAAACTTTAACTTATTTTAGTAATGATACAAATATAATATGCATCGTATATATGAATCTGCAATATAATACTCCGTATGATTCTAAAAATAATAATATCATACATAGTATTGTAATATTAAAAAAAATCTCGTGACTCATGAACACCCTTCTTGGCAGACAAAAATTGCAATTCAAAAATTAAGCATTTATTCCGATAAGATTCACGTGTTTAAACAAAAACAAGTTATTTAAAAAGTATTGGTGGATGAATACCTTTTAAACTTTTTTATATTCAAATAATTTGATAAAATATTATATGTCCTTTATTATTTTGAAGTAATTTCCCTTTGATTTGTCATTTCTTATGCTTTAATGTATCAAGACTTTTTTCTAGAACACTTAAATTATAAAATCAAAGTTATTTTCCATTATCTAAACTTAGAATGTAATATATTTGAATGTCGTCATGTATGTATTAATGGATTCTTTTGAATAAAAATAGCAGCAGAGCTCTACACTAGCAAAAAAAAATCGCTCCGCTACACTAGTGAAAAAAATTCGCCCCCTACACTACCGAAAAATATTTCACCCTTACTAACAAAAAAAATCGCCCCCTTGACTCGAAATCTTGGATCCGTCCCTGTCCGTATATGTGTGAAAATTAGAATTGGGGAGATTTTTCAATTTCAATCGTAGGTAAGTTTCGGTTGCGACCACTTACCAGTGTGACTACCTTCCAAATTTGGTACTTTAATTAATAAGTATTTGCACTTTGAGGTTTTTACCCGAAGGTACACTTTCCTAGTGAAAATCTGGCACCGGTGACATCGTTTCTAGTATATACTTTTGCAGGAAAGTATACTTTTCGGAGGGAAAGTCCATAAATTACTAGAATTATTAGTTACTGAACCAAATTAGAAAGCGATTAAAATTATGTGACTAATAATGGAAACAACTTGAAAATTGCGAGAATAAAATTGCAAATATCCTTTGAATTATTTGTATTACATGACGCCCATCGGTCTAGAATGAAATACCTGAGTACATTCTATTTTGAGGCGTGTTATTGAAAATACGGAGTAACATTTTTCTGCAAATTTTTGTATTAAAATAAATGTAATCTCCTTTCCATTTTAAATCTACAAATATACCTTTAATTAAATCTTTTCAAACTCTCACCCGTTTACGTTATAATAGCCATCAAGGGTAATTTGAATCACCTCCTCAATTTTTAAGCTAAAGAGTGTGATAAATGACATTTAATAGACTTTTGATGCCACGTCTTAAATAGAGAAATAGTTTCATTAAGTTTGAACAAAACATGCATATATGACGTATTTTTTTATATCTCTATTACTATGCGCAGTGGCGTATCCACTATGGGGGCAGCGGGGGCAGCTGCCCCCACTCAACCCCAACCCAACCCCTGTATATGTCCAAATTTTTACAAGAAATTGCTCAAATTAAGAGTTAAATGTAGAAAAAAAAATTCTAAAATAGGATTAGAAGTGTTTTCTTTAATATTAAAAGAATGAAAGGCTAAAAAATTCACTAAACTTTGTTATGTTTAAGACTGTTCAACTTATATTTAGGTAAATTTATTACATTTTATCAGCAATTACATCTTTACACACTCGTAATATAAATTAATCTTCTTTTTATTCATACTTGTACTGTTGTACATAGATATTATAAACTAAATTTAATCAAACAATATTAATAATGTGATTTGTTATTTGTGAAATATGAGACTAAATTGTAGTCAAGTTTGCCCTCACTCGCCAAAGTTTCTGGATACGCCACTGACTATGCGTATGGCCATGGATTATAATCAATACTAGGTGTATGTAGAAAATAATAATCACGTACGTTGTTATTATAAATTAATAATATCATACTTCGGCAATACTATGAAATCATTTTTGAAATTTTAGGGGAAGTGTATAGTAGCACAAGCTAGCTAGCCCAAGATAAATTATCTAACAATATCTTTGTTCCTTTTTAATTCCAACAATTTCATTTTCTATCTTTACTAACACACAACTTCAATCATTAATATATGATAGTATATAATTACCACTTATAAAATTAAAAATTAGATTTTGAAAATTTAAAATATAATGGAACGAATGAATTTAACAATACTTTCAAAAAGTAAATTTCTAATACATTAATGAATAAAATGTACTCTCAGTTAGCTAGTGGTGGAGCGGTTCCGGGCCGACCGGCCCGACCGGCCCGACACTGTTTGGAACCGGCCCGGTGGCCCGGCCAGAGACCGATCCGGGTAGGCCCGGCCCGGGGTTATACGGGTTGGTCTCAAGTCACCCAAAATAGGAACTGGCCGGGCCCGGTTTGGGCCTTTTTTTTTTCAATTTTTTTTGTTTTTCCCGGGTGGGGCTGGGTGTTTTGGAGGGTGGGGGTGAGGGGGGAGGGGGTTAATTAGAAAAGCAAATAAAAAATGAAGAAGGCCGGGGACCGGCCCGGACCCGGTGGAAACCCGGGCCGGTTCCGAGCCCGAAGCCAAACCCAAAAAGCACGTCCAGGACCGTCCTGGAGCCCGGCCCGGGACCAGTCCATGCCTACTCTCAGTAGAGAATGTTATAATGTTGAATTTCGCATACATGTTGCGATCATTTAAGAATAGAGGTGATATGGTTTGACTATATATGATGTAATGGGTGCAGATCTTGGGACTAGATGTGTGCCGTGACACGATCGTTGGAGACGAAATGATAAGAGGAATTTCAGGTGGTCAAAAAAAGCGGGTGACAACCGGTGAGAACTACGACGAGTCGACGATATTATGTGTGTTTACGAAGTATATATATTATATTACTCCAGGGGGCGTCGGGAGGAGGGGCTGAGGGAGTCTGGAGTAATCTAGGCTTAAACTCACTCCATTGAGTTTCGAACTCGAGACCTTCCGTAAGGGAGAGTGAGTCGGCGACCAGTTGGGCTGGACCGCTTATATTGCTTTGGAAATTTTGTCCCACAATTAAATTTTGGATTTTTCAAAACCAAATTCCCTTATTATCTTTTTATTAATATTTGAGTAATAAAATGATTTTTTACAATATACAAAGTAAGTATGTTTTACTTTACAGTCATAATAATAAAAAGAAAAAAAAAAAGAAATAATTACATAAATATGACCAAAATAAAGGTGGTTTAAAAAAATATGAATAGTTACTAGAGTAGTGATGAAATCATAGTGAAGAAAATAATAGTCATATTTATGTAAATAAGTTTTGATTTTAGTAATATTCTTGTAAAAAACTCGAAGAAAAATGATGAACTAACGGGTGGGTTTGGGGAAAATGTTGATGATGATAGGGGAGATGATAGTTGGGCCAACGAAGACGCTATTCATGGACGAGATATCAACGGGGCTGGACAGCTCAACCACATTCCAGATAGTGAAATGCCTGCAGCAGATCGTGCACTTGACGGAGGGGACGATGCTCATGTCGCTGCTGCAGCCGGCGCCGGAGACGTTTGATCTCTTCGATGACATCATCCTGCTGTCCGAAGGCCAGATTGTGTACCAAGGCCCAAGAGCCCACATCCTTCCCTTCTTTGAGTCTTGTGGGTTCAAATGCCCCCACAGAAAAGGCACTGCTGACTTCTTGCAAGAGGTACCTCACTTCCTCATACTCCATTTTATATTATGAGAAATGCCTTTTGTACACGCCCGAAGCCTTAGTGCTAGTTTGGATTGAGTGTTGAAGAGTGTTAATAATGGAAGTGTTAATGCTAACACTTGTTTGGGAGAAAAAACGAGAGGTGTTAAGAAGTGTTAGTAATGGTTAGGAAGTGTTAATAATAACCTTCCCAACACCTCAATTGTCTATTTTTTAACACCCCGATTTGGAGTGTTTTGAGGTGTTGGACAATTATTACCCTTCTCATTTGCCCGAAAAACATAAAATGCTTCGACATTTCACTTCGAATGACTTTCCCACGGGTCTGATGGTTTGTTTTTTCATCTCTTCTCTTTACTCTTTCTTTAACACTTCCATTATTAAAACTTCATTCATTTGACTCTCCCAAACAAGGTAAAATTATGTCTAACACTTACACTTCCCTTCCCTTTCGAGCCCTTACTAACACTTACTAACACTTACTAACACTTCCATTACTAACACTTCCAAACACTTCATCCAAACAGGCCCTTAGACACCAATTGTTGGCTCTATCCCTCCAAAATCAACGTGTTGACCGTGTTGCTCCTGAATTGACCTCGTTGACTATCTAGCTCCAAAAATTGACCTCGTTGACTATCTAGCTCCAAGAATTGACCTGCACAATAATCACTAAAAAGAACTAAAAATATATTAGTGGCTCGAGACGCGTCAGACGCTGTCCTAAGGAATTATTTCCGGCGTACGGAAATTTCCCCCAAGATATAACGAGCCCTTCGGTTATAAAACCGGTACCAGAACTAACGAGAAGAAAATATTATATGAACCCAGCAATAAAATTTTTCAACAACATCAAGCTAACTCTTCCTTGTAGAAGCACTCATGGAGCAAGTATGTACTACGTATATAAACATGTCATCCTCTCTAGTTTCCATCGCATACAACATGTATATATGAGCATATATATACATATTAAGAAATCATAACATGAAAAACGTTAATCATTGATGATATTTAATAATAGTAATAATTATTATCAATAATATTAAATAACAAACATTGGTGGCCTTTGATATCTTAGTAACGGCCAATAGGAAGTTATCACAACAATTATAAATAGTTATAAAACATAATGAATGATTTCAAAAACCATTTACGCAATAAATTATAAATTAAAATACTTAAATGCAAAAAGTCTTATTCATTTGAAATATTCCAAAATTTCCAACAATCCCCCACTTATTTCAAATGAATAATTTTTTATTGTATAAAATCAGCAATTCCTTACTGGGTTCATATATGGGGTGAGGTTTTTCAATCTGGTGTCCGTAGACTTGAACCAGACCTAGACGCCTAAGTCTTTAAATACCGAGTTTATTGGTGAAACGTATAGTTTCTATGAACCAATAATCTACTTTGGTAAGTCAGTGTCTTAGGGGATCATTTTTCACCCCCACCTTTCTCGTCGTTAACGCCGTTGTGCGCCTCTAGGCCGTGCGCGTGCTTGGTTTTCTTGAGTGCTCTAGAAGCGTTGTCAATGTTTCATGGAGGCGGCCCCACCTCACACTCATATAGGTGACTTCATCAAGTGTGTCCCGCACTTAACACACCACCCGTAAGGGCTATGACAGTCATTAAGAGTTTTAACTCAACCTCACAAAGAGATGCAGTCTAGCCTTCCACATCATAGAAATGGACATTTTACAAGGCTAGCAGAACAAATAGAAGACTTGTTATTACCCATTTGAACTTGCTTCATGGGATCTCCAATCACACAAGTTGGGTTCCCATCCCTATTTGTTATCAAAGTGACATTAGTCCATTTCCCTCGATGTTTAATTTATCATTTAACGTCCTAGGGATTCTATCAAAAGGAGTAGCTAATTCCTTTTAACTTCACAAAATTAATGGAACAATTCCATTCTCAAACATCATTGCACTACTTTTAAGGGTGAATGGATATCCACTATTTTATCTCATGTGAGTCGACTCATATTACGTCGTTGTATCCCGGCAATACAACGGATAACTCTCAAAAAAATATAACATCGATGTGACACTTTTGTACATCGGATGATTTCACGAATATGTGATATTCTAACGGATAATTCTCAATAAAATATATATCATCATTGTATCATTATCGTACAATGGATACTTCTCATATATAACATCATTGTACCACTCTAGTACAATGGATATTTCTCAATAAAATATATCATCATTGGATCAACATATTTCAACGAATAATCTCAATCAAATATACCATAACTAATGGTACCTCTCAAGTATCTCAATATCTTTTTAAAGTATCTTAAATATCCATTTGGATCATTTGCACCACTTAATGTATACACAAAAAAAAAAATATCACATTAATCTCAAAGATATTATAGTTTAAAGTATTGCATAATAGCAGATTAATTCTACAATTTAAGAAAATCGTATATATGCTCCTCTATTTCATCTTATGTAAAAGCATCCAAAAGTTACAAAACTCAATTTTTATTCAATAATATCTATTTTATGAAGATAATTTCTAGCTCAACTTTTATTTGTACACCAAGATTTTACCATAAGTCACCTTTAAATTTAAAGAACATATTAAAATTTAGTGTATATAAAAATCATCATTATAATGTATATAACATCATCATACCATTATATATAGTACGAATGATAACACTCAAATATAACATCGTCGTATCACTCTAGTACAACGGATAATTCTCGATAAAATGTGTCTATCATTATACTCATTTAGTACAACGGAACACTTAATAGAATATATATGACATCATTGTATCGTAATAATACAATGGATAATTCTCAATAAATTATTCCATCATTGTATTTCTTTAATACAATGGTTTAGCTCACCAAATACATTTTTGTGTTTTCGATTTCATCTCAATCTTCCGACAATTTTGCCGGATCTCACATAGTGTGTTAAGTTTAATAAATTCACACTTTGAGCATCAAGATAAATTTCTATAAAATGAACACCACACTACAAAATTATTCCTAAATCCAACTCAAAATATCTCCGCACACAATTTATAATAAAAAGTGACACATAATATATATTTGCATCCTCAGGTTTTGAATTTCACCACAAATCAATTAATACCCAGTATAATATATCTAAAAGTACCACACACATGCATAACAATTTTTTGTATCTCAGAATATTGTAGATGGCATTGCTATGACATAGTTAAAATTGTTTATGTGCCTCCCACATTTTGGATATATAAAATAAGGTGCATAGACCGTTCACATATTCAAATATAATTTAATGTTTTGCCTAAATTCCAAGACTAGTATTCTGATCTAACTCCAAAGAAACACTAGATCTAGGACATCTATATATGGTATGATATAAATAATCCATCCAAATACCACATAGTAAAATTCTCAATATACGTGAAATGGTTTAAAAGCAATGTATACAAATTTCAGTAGTCAACAGAATTCCAAAATCTCTAACCCATACAAATTACATGCACTTGTGATTAAAATCTAGAGATAAAAGTAAGACCATCAAGATTTTCTCACAATCAATTCTCAAGCATATTCCAACTTAGGATGAAACCATGCACACGAAACAAAACAAGCTCCACTACAATTTTGATTTTAAAAAAATTTCACATTTGAACCCATTCAAAATTAAACCTACATCGGTGATGTGAAGCAATATTAAAATTCACATAATTTTCAATATAATATGACACCTATTTGGATTACAATCGAAACATAATGTATGGCTATTAGTTTAGAAACTCTAATCCGATAACATTTGTCTCGCAATTAACTTTTCCCGAGAGAAGGTAAACTAAGTAAGATCGGTCTAAATCTTCAATCAAGTGAAATACGTCATTCACATACAAATGCCTTTTTTTTTAATTTGTTTTTTTTTATATTTAAATTACAGATGAGTTTGGAAGCCTCAAATTTTACCACTTATTCATTCACATCAGTCACTAACCAATTTTAAAAAAAAATGACCGCAATAATTTATAATCATCCCTAACAAATTTTAGATAATTTTTTTTTCATAACTATTTGTAATGTGAATAGTTATAAACACATACCGCAAATTTGACCATTTAGTGGGAGCTAGAATTTTGCAGCTTGTTTCAAGGAGAGTTTCCGGCACGTTGACAGTGTAATCTTTATTCGCCTTAATTCCTTAGATTGTTGGCTCTATCCCTCCAAAATCAACGTGTTGACCGTGTTGCTCCTGAATTGACCTCGTTGACTATCTAGCTCCAAAAATTGACCTCGTTGACTATCTAGCTCCAAGAATTGACCTGCACAATAATCACTAAAAAGAACTAAAAATATATTAGTGGCTCGAGACGCGTCAGACGCTGTCCTAAGGAATTATTTCCGGCGTACGGAAATTTCCCCCAAGATATAACGAGCCCTTCGGTTATAAAACCGGTACCAGAACTAACGAGAAGAAAATATTATATGAACCCAGCAATAAAATTTTTCAACAACATCAAGCTAACTCTTCCTTGTAGAAGCACTCATGGAGCAAGTATGTACTACGTATATAAACATGTAATCCTCTCTAGTTTCCATCGCATACAACATGTATATATGAGCATATATATACATATTAAGAAATCATAACATGAAAAACGTTAATCATTGATGATATTTAATAATAGTAATAATTATTATCAATAATATTAAATAACAAACATTGGTGGCCTTTGATATCTTAGTAACGGCCAATAGGAAGTTATCACAACAATTATAAATAGTTATAAAACATAATGAATGATTTCAAAAACCATTTACGCAATAAATTATAAATTAAAATACTTAAATGCAAAAAGTCTTATTCATTTGAAATATTCCAAAATTTCCAACAAATTACACGTCTGGTTTTATGTGTTATCAGATACTCCGTAATTGTTTTCGGTTTATGCATCAGACATTGCACCTTAATTAAAAACGGAAAAAATTTATCTGTGCATAGACAAAATCATGTACGAGAAATTTTATGTTTCTATTTATGTTTCTTTTTGCTCAAACTTGTGGACCCTTAATTTTTCCAAAATCATTCCCCTTTTTAACACTACTAATCTACTACAATCTCCTTCCCCTTAAAATTGAGATATGAGAGATTGAGATTTGGGAGGCTATATGGTCATTAAGAAAAGATGATTTATAGGTATTAAATTGATGAAATGTGAATAAAGTGACAAGCTTAATTAGACATATCAAAAAGTTAAAATGTGACAAAATAGAGTGGCAGAGAGAATATACTTACAGTACTTCAACACTATATCTATTACTCAAATGATAACTTTCTATCAATTTCAGAAATATTAACACTCAAACCTTAAATTTGGAGGAATTAATTCCACTTTTGAATTGGTCATATGAATTTTGTGTCAATTCCATATTTAGTTCATGTCTTTCATTTTGTCCACTTTTGATACTTGATCGACTAATGTTTTTAACCAATTGTGGTCATGATTAAAAAAATCAATTGTGGTCCTTCTCCGACGATTTTAACCATTGGAAACATTGACAGAAGGACTATGTATGCACGAAAACAATAGTCAAATAACAAAAGTGAACAAAATAAAGAATGTGGACTTAATGAGTTAATGTGGAATTGAAATAAAACTCATACAACTAAAGGTGAAATTTATTCAATTTGAAGTGTATATACGAAAGCAAAAACTGTCAACTTAACTTTTGGACGGAGTGAGCATATGTTTTGAATTATGAGTAACATATACAAGCAAAACTTTTGCATGGAATTATTTTAAGCTTTTTATTTTCATATATGAATTTTTTATTGCTATAATTAATAATGAACCATAACAAAAATGTAATAAACTTATAAAAGCTTTAACAAGTATAATTAATTAATGTTAACGTTAAAATGCGCAATCAATGTCTCCTGCTAGGCCTTTTAGACTGTAAAACCCGTGTTATTATTAAATAAATTGGTAAAATTGTGTTTAGTATTTGATCTACTAAATATGTAGTATTATGCAAAAACAATATAAAAGATGTGAGAATAGTTGTCGCACAATTATATCTGCCTTGAATTAATCGGAGATACGTTCATTTTTTATATCAATATGAGACTGGGAAAGTTAGATATTCAGATACATGCCATTATTATCATCACCAAGGTACAACAGAGAGCGAAAATTGTATACATGATGCGCCCTCCTATGGGTAAATGTAAGTGATTGTATAAAAAAAATATTACAAAATGAAGTTATGGTCCCATTTTTATTATGATTTTTAAGATGAATTGCTATTACAAAAAATAAGATTTAGCCGTTGGAACTAATATTAGATAGTACTAGTAACGAAGAAAAAATGAGCATAAACCTCCTTGGCCAAATTTTCTCCTTGTTAAACTATTTAGAGTCCTGGTGCTGATGACTCCTGAGTATAATGTATGTTGATCACACCCAGGTTACGTCAAGAAAGGATCAAGAACAATATTGGGAAGACAGGGAAAAGCCATACAGATTCATATCTGTAAAAGAATTCGGGAGAAGGTTCAAGACTTTCCATGTTGGTTTACGTCTAGATAACGAACTCTCGGTTCCGTATGACAAATCCAGAAACCACAAAGCAGCTCTGGTGTTCAAGAGATACACAGTCCCCACAAAAGAGCTTCTGAGGGCCAATTTCGACAAAGAATGGCTGTTGATCAAGAGGAACTCTTTTGTGTACATTTTCAAAACCGTTCAGATCATCATAGTAGCCATCATTTCATCCACCGTCTTCTTCAGGACCAGGTTGCATACCAGGAATGAGGACGACGGAGGGGTGTACGTCGGCGCTCTGCTCTTCGGGATCATCACCAACATGTTCAATGGGTTTTCTGAACTGTCCATGACCATTCAGAGGCTTCCCGTCTTCTACAAGCAGAGGGATCTTCTTTTCCACCCCCCTTGGGCTTTCACTCTTCCTACCTTTCTGTTAAAGGTTCCCATATCTGTGTTTGAGACAACTGTTTGGATGGTCACCACATACTATACCATTGGTTTAGCCCCTGAAGCTAGCAGGTTCTTCAAGCAATTCATGGTGATCTTTCTCATCCAGCAAATGGCTTCTGGATTATTTAGGCTTATTGCAGCGCTATGTAGGACTATGGTCATTGCCAACACGGGTGGAGCTTTAAGTCTCCTCTTCATCTTCCTTTTGGGCGGATTCATCCTTCCTAAAGGTTTGTTCAAGAACATGTTTGATGATATGCTTCTATTATCGACATTTGTATTTAAGCTAAATAATCACCGTTTTGGTTGCAGGTTCAATCCCGGACTGGTGGGGTTGGGGCTATTGGGTTTCTCCTTTGAGCTACGCGTTTAATGCTATAACTGTCAACGAGATGTTTGCTCCTAGATGGATGAAAACATTGGTATGTTTCCTTATACGTGACGAGCATATTTCTCTCCATTTTTTATTATAAGAACCTTTTGTTTTATAACTCATGATGATATTCTTTGTTCCGCTTGTTTGTACCGGCAGACTTTGAACAACACAAGATTGGGGCTTAAAGTGATGAGGAACTTTGATGTGTTCCCCGAAAAGAGATGGTTTTGGATCGCTTCTGCTGCACTTTTGGGGTTCACTTTTCTCTTCAATATATTATTCACCTTCGCACTCACATACCTCAACCGTGAGTAGTAAACTTACGCATTATTCACCTTCGCACTCACATCGCTATGTTATTGTCTGTTTGCCCTTGCATTAATTAGCTTTTGTATTTTACAATAGCTCTTGAACAGAAACAAGCCGTAATATCCAAAAAACAGGCAAAGGAAATGGAGAATGATCAAGAAGAGTCCACAGAATCCCCAAGACTAAGAGCAACAAAGTCAAGAAAAGATGCGCTACCACATTCACTCTCCGCATCCGATGGAAACAACACAAGTAAAACTTATGTTTGTGATTGGTCAACAATTTCCCCACGGGTATATGAGTTTCTAAGCATATGTCAATTTTTTCAGGAGAAATGGAAATTCAGCGCATGAGTAGTCGTGCCAATAGAAGTAGCCTTAGTAGTAGGAATGCAGATTTGAGCATTGAGTCTACAAATGGTGTTTCTCCAAAGAAAGGAATGGTTCTACCATTTACACCCTTAGCCATGTCCTTTGATGACGTAAAATATTTTGTTGACATGCCTGCCGTAAGAATCAATTACTCATGTTTCATTTTCTTTTTAAATGATATACATATTTGTGCTTATGACATAACTGATGTATACTTTAATAGGAAATGAGAGATCAAGGAGTGACTGAGGATAGACTCCAATTATTGAAGGGTGTAACCGGTGCATTTAGGCCTGGCATTTTGACTGCATTGATGGGAGTCAGTGGGGCAGGAAAGACTACACTGATGGATGTTTTAGCTGGACGAAAGACTGGTGGTTACATTGAAGGGGACATCAGAATATCAGGATTCCCAAAGAAGCAAGAAACATTTGCTAGAGTCTCTGGTTACTGTGAACAGAATGACATACACTCACCTCAAGTGACTGTTCATGAATCTTTAATATTTTCAGCTTTTCTTCGGCTACCTAAAGAAGTCAGCAAAGAGGACAAAATGGTAGGAGACTCTGCAATTTTTTTTTCTTTATTAGGAAAATTTATTCCTCCATTCGTTATCTTCTAAGTGTTGTTTAAAGTGTTTGCACACTTACTAATTCTGGATTCTTTTGACATTTAATCCAGATTTTCATAGATGAGGTGATGGATCTAGTTGAGCTGGAAAACCTTAAGGATGCAATTGTAGGGATACCCGGAGTGTCTGGTCTGTCTACTGAACAGAGGAAGAGGTTGACCATTGCAGTTGAGTTGGTGGCCAATCCTTCAATTATATTCATGGACGAACCCACTTCTGGTCTTGATGCAAGAGCAGCAGCCATTGTTATGAGAACGGTCAGAAACACCGTTGACACAGGAAGAACTGTTGTGTGCACCATTCATCAACCTAGCATTGATATTTTTGAAGCATTTGATGAGGTAAAGGAAACCTGGAATAAATTTCTGATAATGACATGATTATTTTCAGAATGTTGGGAATTTATCTAATTCATGCAATCATGCTTTTATATTGCACATCATCAGTTGTTGCTTATGAAAAGAGGAGGTCAAGTTATCTATGCAGGGCCGTTAGGCCGGCACTCTCGAAAAATTATAGAGTATTTTGAGGTACTCATCTATTTGACATTTTTCTTTTTGTTGTTGTTGTATTATCAAAAAAGGTATTATAAACTAATAAAATTGCATAATCATCTAATACAGTCGGTGCCTGGAGTCCCTAATATCACAGAGAATTACAATCCAGCTACCTGGATGTTAGAAGTGAGTTCAGTCTCTACAGAAATCCGACTTGGAATGGATTTTGCCGAACACTACAAAAGATCATCTTTGCACCAGTAAGTTAAAAGTTAATCAACTCAAGTGTGGAATAATAAATGATCATTCTCTGGTACATTATGAGGTTACTAGAGTGTCTCATGTTTATTTCTTTTAACAATGCACAGACGAAATAAGGAACTTGTGAAAGAGTTGAGTACCCCTCCTCCTGGAGCAAAAGACCTATATTTTGCAACCCAATATTCTCAGTCAACATGGGGTCAATTCAAATCCTGCATCTGGAAGCAGTGGTGGACTTATTGGAGGAGTCCAGATTACAATCTTGTTCGGTACTTCTTCACTTTGGTTGCAGCGCTCATGATTGGCACGATCTTTTGGGATATTGGAGGCAAAATGTATGTTTCCATACCAAAAACGAAAGAGTTGCCATTTTTAGATCACAAAGCTTTTTAATCTTTTATGTTGTAAAACATTCCAGCTTAATGTTTTTGCATGTGACTCAGAAAAACTGGAAGTGACCTAATGACCGTTATTGGAGCTATGTATGCTGCTGTACTGTTTGTTGGGATCAGTAATTGCTCAACTGTACAGCCCATAGTGTCCACTGAGAGAACTGTGTTTTATCGCGAAAAAGCTGCTGGAATGTATTCAGCATTACCATATGCTATGTCACAGGTGAGCAACCAAACCTTTTTCATCTTCAAAATTATAGAAAATCTAGAATCTCAAACAATCTGCTATAATTATTTTGCAGGTCATTTGTGAAATACCATATGTTATTGTTCAAACTTCATATTACACTCTCATAGTATATGCCATGGTGGGATTTAAATGGACAGCAGCTAAGTTTTTCTGGTTCTTCTTTGTGACATTCTTCTCTTTCCTCTACTTCACATACTATGGGATGATGACCGTTTCCATCACACCAAACCACCAAGTGGCCGCCATCTTTGCAGCAGCATTCTATGCACTCTTCAACCTTTTCTCCGGTTTCTTCATCCCCAGACCTGTGAGTTTCAAACTTATATCCTACATTTCATAACAAATAATGTCACAGAAGTATTATTTTGATTCATGTCATATATTTCATTTATAGAAAATTCCGAAGTGGTGGATTTGGTACTATTGGATTTGTCCTGTGGCGTGGACTGTATATGGGTGCATTGTTTCACAGTATGGCGATGTTGAAGACACAATTAAGGTTCCAGGGATGACTTATGATCCTATGATTAAAGATTACATCAAAGATCATTTTGGATATGAACCAGACTTCATGGGACCAGTTGCTGGAGCTCTAGTTGGTTTTGCAGTGTTCTTTGCATTCATGTATTCTTATTGTATTAAGACATTGAACTTCCAACTTAGATAGATATGATACTAAATAGCATATAATTAAATAGCACATGTGTCTTGTTATGTGTAAATAAATAGTATAAAATGTAATGGTTTGATTACTTCGATAGGAACGAAATCAATTATAGCAGTTGCTACATAGTATTGTAGTCTGTGGAACGGTTAAACGTCCAGACTCTGTTGGTGATTTTAGTGTCACCGGCCATTTTGTGTAATTGGAAATGACATGAGTGCCAATGGGAATTAGAACTATGATCTAATACAAGTTAGTAGGTGTGGAGTGCACACTTGTATATAAGAACTAGTTTAGTTCCAAAGTGTCTACGTTAGTGGAACTTGAGGTAGAACTCAAGGTATAACTTTCAGTAGACCAGCTCTGTGGTTCTAGACCGAGTTCTAGAACGGTTAGGCAGTTTCCAGCAGTTTCCCAAAAACTGCTGCGGTTATTCTTAATCGTGTTACTACTGCCTAGGACGATGAATATGGATATATACCACCATATTTCGTACAGAGGAGAAGGAGGATCAATATCCAACATATCTTCATCACTTTGGCACTCAAATTAAAGATAACAATCCATATACTCACTAGTTTGGCTCTAGTTCTTGTGCCTAAGTTCTAGAGTGTCCTTAAGGATTATCCTAGATTGAATTTCTTGTAACCCAGGAATAGGGGAGAAATATCAATTCGGAAAGTGAACTTACACGATCCTTAAGATATCCAAGTACTCTATTATCACCCCCTACGTGATACCCCAACAATCGAATTGATATTTCCTTGTGATAATCATGAGTACCGTGGAAGAGATGACATCCAAGTTCAACAAATTGGACAAGTTTCAAGGGAACGATTTCCGTAGATGGCAGAAGAAGATGCACTTTCTTCTCACCACGTTGAAGGTTGTGTACGTGTTGAGCACTCCAATGCCGGAAGTGATGGAGGATGAAACCTTGGAACAAACTCGGAGGCGCAACAAGTGGGAGAACGATGACTACATATGTAGAGGCCACATCCTTAACGGTATGTCCGATGCATTATTTGATATTTACCAAAACGTTGAGAGTGCGAAGGAATTGTGGAATTCTCTTGAGTCAAAATACATCGCCGAGGATGCTTCTAGTAAGAAGTTCTTGGTGAGTGATTTTAATAATTATAAAATGGTTGACTCAAGGCCGATTATGGAACAATACAATGAACTCCTTCGTGTTCTTGGTCAATTTAAACTCCACAAGATAGGTGTTGACGAGTCCTATGCCGTGTCGAGTATAATTGACAAACTTCCACCCTCTTGGAAGGATTTTAAAATTTCTTTAAAACATCAAGATGAGGAACTGTTCTTGGTTCAACTTGGGAGTCACTTGCGCATTGAGGAGAATCTTCGTGTGCAAGAGAATGACCAAATTATGGGTGAAGTTGAATCTAGAATGGCTCATGTTCACTTGGTTGAGGATAATAAATCTAACCCGAAAGATAAGGGGAAAGGCAAAAAGCGCAAGTATGAAGACCATGACAAACCTAACAAGAAACCGAAAGGTTTGGTTTGTTGGAGGTGTCAAAAGGTTGGACATGTCAAGCGTGATTGCCGTGTGAAACTGAACAAGAATGGCGCTGTAACGAGTGGCAGTGGACAGGAACGGTCTAAGGACCTGGTTCCACGGAAAGGAGGTCAGTTCCTGACTAACTTTGATAATTCTGTCCAGAATTATGTATCACTCATTCCAGAATCTTTTTATGTACAGGATGATGCATGTGCATGGTGGATTGACTCGGGGGCTACGAGCCATGTGTGTAAGGATAAATCATGGTTTGAAGACCTAGAACCAGTGGAGGTCGGTTCCTTCTTACGCATGGGAGACGAGTCAATGGCGCCTATCTTGGGAAAGGGTGTAGTTGTTTTAGAATTTACTTCTGGAAAAACAATTACGTTGTTTGATGTTTTGTATGTACCGAAGGTTCGAAAGAATCTTGTTTCGGGAAGTATGTTGAATAATTTAGGGTTCAAACAAGTGATTGAATCCGATAAATATATTCTGTCCAAGGGTGGTGTGTTTGTTGGTTTTGGATATTTATCAAAATCGCATGTTTCGTTTAAATGTTGTGAATAAATTAATTCATAGTGATAATTCTGTTTTTGTGGCATCTTCCATGAATGATTGTATGATTTGGCATGCTAGACTAGCTCACATTAATTTTAGGAAAATGCATGAAATGTCTAAAGATAGTTTAATTCCTGCTTTTGGTATTAATGATGATAAGTGTAGGACTTGCATGCTTACTAAGATCACAAAACAACCGTTTCCTAATGTTGAAAGGAATTCGGCTACTTTGGATCTTGTACATAGTGATCTATGTGACTTTCACTCAACTCCTTCCCTTGGCAATAAAAAGTATGTTGTTACTTTTATTGATGATTCGACTCGGTTTTGTTATGTGTATTTATTACACACCAAGGATGAAGCTTTAGAGAAATTTAAAGTGTATAAAACCGAGGTTGAATTGCAATTGGGTAATCCAATTAAATGTCTTAGGACTGATCGGGGAGGAGAATATATGGATCCCCATTATTTTCAATCTGTTGGAATCATTCATGAGACCACGGCTCCGTATACACCACAACAAAATGGTGTGGCCGAACGGAAAAATCGAGTGTTAAAGGAAATGGTTAATTCCATGCTTTCCTACTCGGGTTTGAGTGAAGGGTTTTGGGGAGATGCCATGCTCACGGCCTGCTATGTTCTAAATAGGGTTCCAAATAAAAGGAACAAGACAACCCCATATGAGCTTTGGTACAAGAAAGCGCCGAATTTGAAATATTTTCGGGTTTGAGGTTGTAGGGCGGTTGTAAAATTGTCCAAGCCCAAAAGGAAAACTTTGGGGGAAAGAGGAATTGATTGCATATTCATAGGGTATGCTGAACATTCCAAGGCTTATAGGTTTTATGTAATAAAACCTAATGATGCGGTAGCGGTTAACACCGTGATTGAGTCTCGGGATGTGATCTTTGATGAGATGAGATTTTCATCAATTCAAAGACCAAAGGACCTAGTTCCAGGCACTAGTGTGGTGCAAGTTCCAGAATGTTTGGATGGTGTTTTGAATCCCGAAGCACCACAAATAAGGAAAAGCAAACGAGGCCGCATCGTGAAAGACTTTGGTCCCGATTTTCACTTGTATTTAGTGGAAGGTTCAAGGGATGAAACGGGGGTACAATATTCATATTGTTACCAAGTTGAGGATGATCCAAAGACCTTTAAAGAGGCAATGGAATCCCGAGATGTTGTCTTTTGGAAGGAGGCAATTGATGATGAAATGTCATCAATTATGGAGAACAACACTCGGGTGTTGTCGGATTCGCCACCGGGTTCTAAACCCTTAGGTTGCAAATGGATCTTCAAAAAGAAGATGAAAGTGGATGGAACTGTTGACAGGTTCAAGGCTCGGTTGGTCATTCAAGGTTTTAGACAAAAACCCGGAATTGACTATTTTGACACGTATGCGCCGGTTGCTCGAATTACAACCATTAGGTTGTTAATTGCTTTGGCGGCTATACACAATCTGATTATACATCAGATGGATGTCAAGACGGCATTTTTAAATGGTGATCTTGATGAGGAAGTTTACATGAAACAACCGGAAGGTTTTGTTATGCCGGGACATGAGCATAAGGTTTGTAAACTTGTTAAATCATTGTATGGGCTGAAACAAGCACCCAAACAATGGCATCAAAAGTTTGATGAAGTTATTTTGTCCAATGGTTTTAGTTTAAACCAATCGGACAAGTGTGTCTATAGCCGATTTGATGCATTCGGAGCGGGTGTGATCATATGTCTCTATGTTGATGACATGCTGATTTTTGGAACGGACCAAAATCAGGTTGATGAAACCAAAAGGTTGTTATCATCAAGGTTTTCCATGAAGGACATGGGGGAGGCGGATGTGATCCTTGGTATAAGGATTAAACGGGTAAACAAAGGGATTGCTTTGACACAAGCTCACTATGTTGAGAATATTCTCAAAAGGTTTAATTATAGTGATTGTTCACCCGTTGGTACTCCCATGGATCCTAGTGTGAGGTTGATGCCTAATAAATGAAAGACAATATCTCAACTTGAGTACTCTCAAGCTATTGGTAGTTTAATGTATGCCATGACAAGCACTCGGCCAGATATTGCTTTTGTTGTGGGTAGGTTGAGCCGGTTTACTAGTAATCCTAGTACTCAACATTAGCAAGCAATGAAGAGAGTGTTCAAATATTTAAAGGGAACCATGGATTATGGTTTGTGTTACTTTGAGTATCCTTCAGTATTAGAAGGATATTCGGATGCAAGTTGGATATCCAATGTAGAGGATCACTCTTCTACAAGTGGTTGGGTATTTTTGCTTGGGGGAGGTGCCATTTCTTGGGCATCCAAGAAGCAAACTTGTATCACAAGTTCAACGATGGAATCTGAGTTTGTTGCGTTGGCTACCGCCGGTAAAGAGGCGGAGTGGTTAAGAAATTTAATTTTTGAGATTCCATTGTGGGGGAAGCCGATTGCACCTATTTCTATCCATTGTGATAGTGCTGCCACTTTGACTAAGGCGTATAGTCATGTTTATAATGGCAAGCCTAGACACTTAGGTGTTAGACATAGTATGATTAGAGAACTAATCATGAATGGTGTAATTTCAGTGGAATTTGTAAGATCGCAACATAACTTGGCGGACCACTTGACCAAAAGTTTGGCTCGGGACTTAGTGCACAAGTCTGTTATAGGGATGGGTTTAAAGTCCATTTAATCCTTAATGGTGAGACACCCAATTCCCCTCTAATACAACGTTAGAGGCTGAATTCAATGCGGAAAGCTCACACTTAATGGATTGGAACACACAATGAAAATCATCCCAAGGTGTGTGTTCGGACCTGTAGTAGGGAGGCTGAATTTATTTCTTAATAATTCCTTTGATAAAGTGTAAGCAGGTACACGAGTAAAGGAATTACCTATATGACCGTGAAGTGTAGCCGCACTTCAAAAGGCTTGGGACTTGGCTTTTATACGGTCATGAATGGGATTAGGACACACGGCTTTATAATTGTGTCAAGTTTGTATTCTAGTTGAGTATTGAAACTTGTATGTATTTTATCTTGAGGTATTCAAATGGGTTGAAGGGTTCAATCCGTAGGACACCCCGATTCTCGAATATTTTGAATGTGTAAAATACTAAGATGGAAATTCAATCGTATCGACATTTCCATTTATGTGCAAGTTTTGGTTTGTAAGCTTTGTTATGTCATTTCATGGGTTACACTAAAATGGGGGAGGATTGTTGGTGATTTTAGTGTCACCGGCCATTTTGTGTAATTGGAAATGACATGAGTGCCAATGGGAATTAGAACTATGATCTAATACAAGTTAGTAGGTGTGGAGTGCACACTTGTATATAAGAACTAGTTTAGTTCCAAAGTGTCTACGTTAGTGGAACTTGAGGTAGAACTCAAGGTATAACTTTCAGTAGACCAGCTCTGTGGTTCTAGACCGAGTTCTAGAACGGTTAGGCAGTTTCCAGCAGTTTCCCAAAAACTGCTGCGGTTATTCTTAATCGTGTTACTACTGCCTAGGACGATGAATATGGATATATACCACCATATTTCGTACAGAGGAGAAGGAGGATCAATATCCAACATATCTTCATCACTTTGGCACTCAAATTAAAGATAACAATCCATATACTCACTAGTTTGGCTCTAGTTCTTGTGCCTAAGTTCTAGAGTGTCCTTAAGGATTATCCTAGATTGAATTTCTTGTAACCCAGGAATAGGGGAGAAATATCAATTCGGAAAGTGAACTTACACGATCCTTAAGATATCCAAGTACTCTATTATCACCCCCTACGTGATACCCCAACAGACTCCAGAATGGTATATCAGTGTTCTCACAAGTATCAAGTCTTGTACTACCAAAGAGTTTGGAGATAATTGTTGTACTTTGATCCTTGAAATTGTAAAGAATTTCGCTATTCAGAGTCCCAATGAAAGGTATATGAGATTTTCTAGAGTATGAATAACTTCTTTATCTTGTTTTTTTTCATATTGACGCCAAAATATATTTAGATACAAGACACAGTCCGTACCTAGTTTCAAGAGTTTTTTCCTAAAATAATGTCAAATAAAAAAATATTTCCCAAAATAAGATTAGGTTAAAAGTATTTCCCAAAATACTGCTCTCCTAAACCCTGTTAAGAGAGCCGTCCAGTAGCGGCTAATATACAGAACAAGAAACGCATGAGGAATGTCGCAGGAGGAAGAGAAATGAGACGGGCCCCACCAATAAATAAAATCTCATTTTTATTTAAAACTAATATAACTTTTTTATTTTATTTTTTTTATTTTTATTTTTTATTTTTTTAGTTCATAAAATTAGGAACTGATTTAAACTCTACTTAGGGTTGGTTTGCAACTGCTTTTAAAAAAGCACTTCTCAACTTTTGGCTTTAAAAAAGCACTTATTTTCCCAAACACTACAACTTTTATTTTTCTCGGCTTCCGCATCAAAAGTGCTTTTACTTTTTCTATTACACAAAAAACACTTATTTTACCAAACAACACCCACTTTTACTTTTCAAAATCACTTTTTTCTCAAACACTATCAACTTTTATTTAATCACTTCTCCTCATTTCATTTTAAAAAGCACTTTTTTAAAAGCAGAAACTGTTGCAAACAGACCCTTAAACACAATCACAAGAATCTCTGAGCAGTAGTAATTGAAAATTGTAAATATAGTATCTAGACAATAAAACATAACATTATGCTCAGATGATCCCGATCTTGTTCGCAACATCCAGGGCATCAGAATCTGGAGTCAACCGAACATATGCCTTCTTAGTTCCATCTGGCCTGATTAGAGTGTTCACTTTCTTAGTCATGATCCCATACATCTTATTGACAGCATTCTTAATCTTCTTTTTGTCAGCCCGGATATCAACAATGAAGACCAATGTGTTGTTATCCTCAATCTTTTTCATAGCGGACTCAGTGGTCAATGGATACTTGAGAATTTGGAAGTGGTCCAACTTGTTCCTAGAAGGAGCACTGATGCGAGGATATTTAGGGTTTCTTTCCTTCTTCAATGTCCTGGGCCTGTGGAATGTGACCTTTGTGCGGATCTTCTTACCTTTCCTCTTGAAGGTAGTGCCTTTCACAGCTTTGGCAACCTTTGCAGCCTGAGCTTTGGGATCAACTCTCTTAGCAGATTCACCTTTCGGGGCCATTGGTGCTGTGAATCACGGAGACTACCTAATGGAAACATAAAAGCAGCAATTCGGCGTCAGATGAAAAACCTAAACACTGACGAAAGGCACAGATCTTGAACTGTCCAAATTTAAATACAGCGGGGAATGCTCATATGTATGTATGTTAAGCGTAAAAGTTAGAGGTCTGGGTGAAATACTGCGAACAACACAGAGTGAACTCACCTTGAAGATGAGGAAGACCTAATATAACTTTTTTATTTGTGTTCTAATTCTTAAAAAAAAAATATCAAAATTCATAACTTTTTATTACCTTTCATATGACACTAATATTCAATATATAAAAATAAAAAAATAATTTAACACTTTAAAAATATTTTTGTAAATGTTATATTTTTTATTTGTATTTCGATTGTTACAAAAAATATATCTAAATTCACGTTTTCCTATTTTTCATAAGACACTAATTTTGAAGATAGAAAAATTAAAAAATTAATTCTTTTAAATTGTGGAGTTTATGATCGCTTTTTACTGTGCACACAATTTATAATTTTTGTTAAGTACACATTACTAAAGGGAAATAACCCTAAATAAGACCTAAACGTTTGTATATTCCAAAAATAGGATTGCCATGTTTTTATTCCCAAAATGGGACTAATTACTGTCATGTTTTTTTCATTACCAGACTTTAAACATGATAGTATTTTCCTAACTTGGCAGTAATTACTCCTATTTTGGGAATAAAAACATGACAGCCCTATTTTGAATTTTTCAAACTCATTTACTCCTATTTCGGGAATTTTCCCAATATTATATCAAATTTTGATTTTTTTTTTGCAATATAAGTTATTTAACTAAATTTAGGCCCTACCTGAATGGGAAAGCTAGATCCGCCCCTGACTGCAGCGTGCACCTCAGTGATTCAGAAGCTGTTCTGTTCATCTTAATCTTATTACTTATTGCTTATTCTTATTTTATTCAGATCAGATTAGATCAGAAAAGTTCAGATCAGATCAGATCAGAAAAATTCAGATCAGATCAGAATCATTCAGATCAGATCAGGAACATTCAGATCAGATCAGGAACATTCAGATCAGATCAGGAACATTCAGATAAGATCAGAAAAGTTCAGACATGATTTATCCTTTTTATTAGAATAATAATTATAATAATATTTATAATAATTATAATTATTATTATTCTTGTTGTTGTTGTAATTATTATTATTATTATTATTATTATTATTATTATTATGATTACTATAATTATTATTATTATTATTATGATATTTATTATTATCATGATTATTATTATTCTTACTACTAATATGGTTGTTGTTTTTATTGTTATTAGTTTTGTTTTCGTTATTATCATATTATACGGAGTAATTACAATTAAAATTATAGAAAGAAATATTATAATTATAATTAAAATTATAATTATAGAAATAAATATAACCATAAATATAATTACAATTATAATTGTAGCTATATTTATAACTAGTGTAATCCTCTAATAGGAATACAAATGCATCTCAGCCCTTCATTTTAAATGATCCGTACCGTTCACTTAAAAATACGTACTACTCCGTATCACCTATCCTAATTTTCTCTCATTTTCTTTTCACCGATCTCTTTGCTTCTGTTGCTGCAAGTCTTTGCCACCTCTTTCTTCCGTCCCAGGGCCTCATGGAGAAGAAGGGAAATGGACCAGCGACGGCTTGAGGTCAGTAAGTCCGAGGAGCAAGTGTTGTCCGGAATGGATATCACCGCCACAACATCCGCCGGCGCCTCCAAGACAGCCGATTTTCTTTCAAATTCACATATCTTCTCCCATCCAGACCAATCTCCACAGCACCTAAATCTATTCGGGGGAAATCGCCCAACTTTGTGAATCAAAAGAAAAGGGACCAATTTCACACGAAACTCGTAAGTTTACAGATTCATTTTTAGCGTGAATTTCATTTTTATTTTACTTTCTTTATTTAGTTTGATTAGAAATACTCCCTCCGTCCCTAAATAAACTTCCATTTCGCTTTCCATTTCGCTTTTCGAGGGTCAACTTAAATCACACTTAAACTCTTACTTTATATATCAAAATTTTATAAAAAGTGAATTATTTTTTGCAGGCTTTGTAGCAGGTTTGATGTAATTTCTGAATATGTAAATTTTATTTTCTAAAAATAATCTGAGCTTTCACAGGGATCATTTAACTTTATCGTTGGTCAAACTTCGTAACCCGCAATTGGAAGTTTAATATGGGACGGAGGTAGTAGTATTTTTTTAATCAAACTATCTGATTGTTTTGTAGACTTTTTGCTTTAAGTCAATAGCTTGCTTGGCTAAACAGATTCATCCCGCACCAGCTTAAATCAAAATCTTTGTTCTGTATGAAATATATTCAAAGTGGCCTGGAATCAATGTTTCTTTTCAAGCAGATGGATATCAACTTTGCACTAAATCAAAATGCCATCTCCATCTTAGGGTTAAGGTTTTTCTTACAAGTTGGTATAAATATAGGTTATCTTTTGCAATTTATTTGATTATCTTTCGCGAGCTTTACTAAATGGGCATGGCTTAATCCGGGTTTTCAAAATATGATCACATTTCTTCTTCATTATATTCCATGCATGTAATGTACCATTTAAGAATGTCCAGGTGTTAAAAAAAACATCGTATTCCAGTCCTAAAATACGTCACTAGACTCGCTACCAAGGCAACAAGTTTGGTTTAGATAGTTTTAATAGTAATGACCACTCTCATAGTCTCATTTTTGTGGCCTTCATATTTGATGGAATATCTCTTTATGAAGCTTCACCATAAATCCACAGATTGTAGCAGTTGTTTTTAATTACTATATATCAATAACTATGTTCTTCAATCCTTTATTTTCTTGATTTATCTCTTTACAAAATAAAAAACATGCATTTTTTTAGATTCAAAACTCATGAGTTCAATGTGTAATGTCGTTTGTGAAGGAGCAGGGACAATGTGAAAATTGAAAAACAAAGAGGGTATGCTTAGCAAACTAAATTTTGATAAAAAAGTATGACTGTATATGTTCCCAAACCAAATATTACCAGGTTTGCTTTGGTAAAAAAAAGTTGTTTTTATGAGGCTAGGTTTTTTATCCAAACATTCTTTTACAAGTGTATACACTGTAATTCAGTAATTCCATTCTTTTTAATTGGGTGAATGAATGTTATATCTGAAGAAGCAATTGGTACTGCAGCTCTGTTGTTTCAGCAGCTCCAAAAATTCCATCTAGACACGTCCGAGGGCATATTTCAATAGCTCAAATTGTTAAGACGGGTAAGCCGCAAAATAAGTGCCACATGTTTCAAATGAATCATTTATCAGTGGTTTGGAAAGAAAACTGTGTTTTTAGATTATTGTCATTAGATTCCATTTTAGAATTCTTATTTATGATTTCCAAATATGGAGTAAAACTTATTTCTTATTTTGTAATAGGGTTAAAGTTCTTAGAGTGTTTACATTTTTTTGATACATCACAAACGAATTAGGTTTACACATTATTTACACACACCTTTTTGTATCTATCACGTACCTTTCTAATCACGAGTCTTTTATCATGGATGGTTATTAACAGCCAAGGAAAGGAAAAAGGAAGGTGAAGATATAAAAATGAATCAAAATGATATGCTTTAAAAGATTATGAATTCTAAATATATAATTGAAGTGTGTGTTTCTTACAATTTTCGCACATAATTTTTTTACATGGTGTAATAAAAAACAATTCTTTTCAAAGAGGTCCCAAGTACTTGGATTTAAAAATAAAATAACCAACCAAATGGCATACTCTTTGATATCTTTAGCTATGCATGTGAGGCAAATTGAAATACAATCATATAAAAAGCTGCACGTAAAACATATCAACCCCCAGTCCCTTACTTGCTCACTAGCAATGTGAGATTTTAACTCTTTGTTTCTCTCTTTTAAAATCAACTTTGAATGCTATTTCTATACCAAATTTTCGTTATATGCAGCTAAAAGCATTCAACTCCTTGATTTTTTTATTTGTTGGACTATAATTACTGGAGAATTTAGTTCTATAGTTTTTATTGTTATTACTTCATACTTATAATATACTAAGTACTGTTTATACATTTTGTTTCATAAATAGAAAATTGCTTCAAACTATTTAAATACCTTCTTTCTATCAATGATCCTTTACTTTGTAATTTGATTTTGTTTTGATGTTTCTGATCTTGTGAATACGCTTTACAGTTATCCTTAGTTGATGCTCAAGAAATTCCAAATGGATTTATAAACCAATCTGTCAAGTTTGTTTTCTTAAATGTTTCCCTTGCTCATCCACTTATGCAGGCTGCAAGCTTCCAAGTTTCAATGAGATTTATTTACAGTTCATAATGTGACATTTTGTTGCTACTGTAAACCCAAATGGGATAATAACTGGTGTGAACAGAGACTGATAATATAGTTTATCAAGTTTAACAGCTGAAAGGGATTGCTTACCGATGAGGTGGATTAACTTTCTTGGAAGTGGTGTTCTAAATTCACTTGCTTTGATACTAATCTTGTGTGTTTGTCATCTATTTTAATATCATTCGACATTCAACATTAGAAATGAGAAATACAGCATTATAACAAATGGATAGGTTTCAACCGGCCATACCTATTTGTTGTAATTCATAACAAATTGGAATTTTATCAATCCAGGATGTGAAAGATAGAAAAATTATCAATCCAGGACCTGAAAAATGAAATGTATCGGTATAGGACCTGAATAATGGAAAAATATCAATTAAGGACCTAAGTTGTCATAAATTTTATTATTATTTTTATTTCAAAAATTTTAAATATTATTTAGTTTTATTAAACTAATAAACTTTTGTGAAGAAAATTTATCAAAAATTAGCAATGGAATTAATAAAAAATAAATAAAAACCGATAAATGTTAGGTCTTAGATTGATAGTTTTTCATCATTCGGATCCTACATCTGTACAATTTATCTTTCAGGTCCTGAATTGATAATCTATCTATCTTACAGGCCCTGAATTAATAAAATAAAAGTAAACAAAGTACCATACTTTATGGAATCCAAAAGTAGTTTCTACCGTAAACAAAATGAATTTTATCAATTCAGAGCCTGAAAGGTAAATAAATTATCAATTCAGGTTATCTACTCACTAATAAGATGCTATGGGCCCTACCCGGTCCCGAAACCAACTCGGTCCGGTACCAGGCTTAATGCCCAAAAA